TGGTGATGAGACGTGTGAATTAAGGCTTTATGATATTCACCATTAAATAATTGAAGAAATGATGCTTGAGTTCCCGTTGTTCCCTTTACGCCCCGAAACTTGAGGTCATTCCTGGCACGTCGTAGTGCTCTTTCATCCATTAATAAATCATGTAACCAAAGAGTGGTTCTTTTACCGACAGTTGTCAGTTGAGCTGGTTGGAGGTGAGTAAAACCAAGAGTTGGCAAGGATCGGTATTCTTCGGCAAATTTACTCAATCGGGATATAACTCCGATTAATTTCGGCATAAGAATGTCAAAGCCCTTCCGAAGAACAAGAAGATCCTAAAGCAAAATATGTGTTACTAGTTGTAAAAAGCCTAATAAAAACCGGAATATACCGTATTATCTCCGACATAACAACTCGTAGCTCCGAGGTGTATTATTGGCGCGGCTTTTGGACATTGTTTCCCGAAAACATGAACATGAGCCATTACATCATGACGAGTGGCTTTTTCTTCCTCCGCAGCCGCTTCAAAAGAAATATCATCAACATTTGCCTCCATTTCAGCTATTTGTTCTGGTGTTATCATCAACCCTAACTCCTGCAAAGGCAAAACGTAATTCCATTCACAGGACTAATGAAATCATTTCATTCAATTTAGAAAATATATATTTCTGTATTTCATAATACAAAAAAATATATAGTATCCATTCAATTTTCTCAGAGAGGAATCTCTGAATGGGCTCACTTTTAAAATTATCGTGAAATTTCTCCCTCTTTCTCAAAATATGTTATCTGATTAGATAAGAAGGGCTGGGCTCGTCGATGCCCAGATACTGAAACGTGCGTAGAACTCATCCTCACCTGATAGTGAAAACACCTCAGGCTATTTTTTAAAGGCAAATTTTCAATTAACTAGATTCAAAAAATGACGTCCGTATTTACAATTGGGGGTATCGCTTTGAAGGTTCTCAAATTGGTAAGAAAAAAATTATTCATTAAAGAATATTCAATGCACGGATTGTGTTTCCGCTTCCATGAAAGATAATTTTTACAAACATTCGAATACATTTCATCCTAGTTTTACGATGAGTGCACGTGGAATAAATTAACGGAACTTCCATTGAGTGAAAGTGATGGAATTTACAGTGGAATGTTCGAAATTATAAAAAAAAATCGTGGATTCATTCGTACCTGTTGAAATAGTGTGAAGTCAGTGATTCATGCCAGTTTAGTATCAGTGGTATGATAAAGCTGCATGTTTGTAGAGAGATAATGTTTTAGACGAGGGGTGAACATTATTACTCATAAACCTTCTTTCCCATTTTTTTTTCACAACTCATTTTGTCACAATAATTAATATCCGGAAATAAATCACCGGAAAAAACAATAACAACTCTGTGGATTTTCAGATTGTCAATTTTATATGCATTATTCTCTATCGAACTGGATACGGTGGTGAATTTCTGGGAGTTGGTGGAACGTGGAATTTGAATGAAGAAAAAAATCCAGATGCCGAAATTGTCGCATCTGGAGTTCTCGTCGGTTTTTTCATTTATACCAGTGCTGTTCTCATCAGCTACTGCTTTGGAACAACGCAGCATAAGAAAACCCTAGTGGTAACAGAAAAATTTATCCATATTCCTTCGCAATGTAATCCACTCCCGAATTGTTTATGATTTTCAGGAGATTATTATGAATTTTGTTGGAATGTTCATGTTCATTGCCGTTGGTGGAACAGCTCTCCATTATTGGAATGGATATCAGGCTGAACACAAATATATCCACACAGCAACCGAAAGACAGGTAAAAATCATGCGGGAATCAATTTTTAATATCGTCAGAGCTCTCCAATATTTAACATTGGTTTTTTTTTT